ACACCTAACCGGGCCCTGAGCATGTAAGGGTCCTTGTCCCAGCACGACCTGGAGGGTGAGGGAACCCCATCACTCAGATTCAGGCTTGGGGAATGTAGGACAGGACAGAGGCCTGAAGCTAGGCCATCCAGTCCAGCCTAGCTCTTAGCAGGCCTGGAAGGTAAAAGGGTGGCCGGGGAGCTAAGCAGAGTCAGCTAATAATAAAACGGCACTCTGGTTCCTATGGCAATCATTACTTCTGTACAGACTACCCACAGGACATTTGCAGAGAAGGAGTCATTGGCAAGGGGGAATTAAATGCCACCAAAACCTTATTTTCTCTCATTATATACAGGCAAAGCCTCAAAACGCCAAGCCTTTGTGTACAGGGAGGTGGTAAAAGGAGATCAAGCACATGCAGCCATAGCTGGTGTGAACAGGACAAGTGATCCTTTGCTGGGTTCAAAGAAGCACCCCTGGAGGGCTGGGAAAGGATCTGTTCAAACCATACACAGAGTCCAAATATAAACAGGGAGCGAATGGAAGATAAAGAGGAAGAAGAGAGCTGGGACTGTGCTAACCCCAGAAAAGGTGGTTCCCAAGAGAAAGGCAGGGTTCCTAATATGTCCTTAACACTTCCAGGAAAAACAGAAGTGCTTTTCCCGTTCTTCCATTAAGCACAATTAAAACCACTAGGCATTGTATATGTAAACACAGAAAGTCTCTGGAAGGCAGGCAAACTGGCAGGGGTCTTGGGAACCAAGAATGGCACCATGGTTGGTGGGGGGGGGGGCCCTTCTTGCCTCATCTGGAGCTGAAAACACTGGCAACCCAGAAATGCCAATGTATGGAGATTAAAAACTCCCCCCAACAAAAGCCTGTAGCTCCAGCCTAAAGACCGGGAAAGGGGATACAGCCCAAGGAAAACTTTCAGTTTTCCCCCACTCCTATCAAACAACACAGGAAACACTGGGCCCCACACACCAAGCCCAGTCCCAGGGAGCCCACACCATACCCCTCTTGAGCGCTATTAAGGCATCACGATACCTCGTCCGGATATGTCAGAGAAGACAGGCAGCTGGGGACCAGGAATTTCATCCTTACCCAGTGATAAAGAGTCCCTCTAACAAAACGGGGGGGGGGGGGGGGGGGCAGGGGATAGTTTTAAAAAAATCCAAAAAAGCAATCTTCAGGTCCAGGTGGTTTTACTGGGGAATACTAGCAAATCTTTAAAGGAAAACTAACTTCAATTATTTGCAATCTCTTCATTATATAAAGCTAACACCAGGTTGGCCAAAAACAAAATTTAAAAAAAATACGTATTTTTAAAGCATCTATGATCACAGATGCAAAACTCCTTAACAAAGAGTAGCGGGTACAACACACAATATATAAAAAGAATTATACAACCTGATGGAGTGAGATTCACTCCAGAGATACACAGCTGGTTCAGAATTTGCAAATCAATGTAATCTACCAGCTCCCCATGAGTTTAAGCAAGGTTAGGAATACATGCTGAATATACAAAAATTAACTATTTCTATATATGAGCAATGAACACCTAAATAATGGAAAATACAATACCATTTGTCATTGCAAGGGAGGGAGGGCGGCAATAAAATGTACAGAAGATCTGTATGACAAAAGCCATAAAATGATAAAAAGAAATCAAAGGAGATCTAAATAAATGAAGAAACATTCTACGTTCATGGACTGAAAGACTCAACATAGTAAAGATAGCAATTCTCTCCCAAACTGATAAACAAGTTGGATGTATCAAAATACCAACAAGATTTTTTTGAAGACAGAAACCGGACTACCCTTGAATTTATATGGAAAGGCGAAAGAACTAAGATAGCTAAAAACAGTTTTGAGAAAAAAGAATGAAGCTCAGAAACCAGTCTACCAGATTTTAAGATACTCTACAGTCACAAGTAATCAAGTCTGCGCAGTCCTGGTGCAGGGATGAGACAAAGATCAACGGAACAGAATGGAGTCCCACATGCCCAGTTAACACCAGACAAAAGCCAAAGGGCAGGCCTCTCTGGTGGTGCAGGGGTTAAAGTCTCAGGGCTATAAAGCTATCACCAGTCACTTTGGCCTGAGTTCGATCCCCAGCCAGGGAGCTAACCCACATGGCACATCAGACCTCTCCTGTCTCATCTGCTGCTCCCTCAGCAGTGTAAATCAGTAGATCCGCCTGTTCTGCTCCCCACTCTGTCTCTGGTGAATCCTCTCACTCCCCCCCCCCCCGACCTCCAGCCTACACCCCAGTTCTTGTATGCATAAATAAATAAAAAATCTTTTTTTTAAAAAATGCAAAGGCAAGTCAGGAGGAAAGTAACTTTTGGGCATGGCGTTAGAGGAAGCAGACAGACATGCACAGGTGAAAAAATACGAATTACAAACAAAGGTAAAATATAAAATTATAAAGCATTTAGAGGGAAAAAAAAAACAGGTTAAGTTTTCAGGAACTAGAGCAAAAGGGTCTTGAACCTGACACCAAAAACACAAGCCCCAAGAGAAAACTGATAAATTGAACTTCATCCAAACTAGAAACTTTCACTCTGCTCAAGATTACCAAGATGAAAAAAAGAAGCCATTTGAGAAAAGACTTGTAATGACACATGTCCATTATCTAGAATATATCAAACACTGTTAAAATTCAAAGTAAAATTTAAAAAGGACTTTTAACTAGAGAAAGGGCAAGAAACATAAACAGGTATTTCAACAAAATCAAAATATATGGAAAGATGTTTACTATCATTTGCTATAGGGGAAATAAACAAATTAAAACCATAAGGTATCGCTACATACCTATCATAGTGGCCAAAATAAAAATGATTCCCACCACCAAACGCTGGCAAGGATGCAGAGAAATTGAATCACTATGCCCTGCTCATGGAATTTCTTAAGAAACCAAATGCACAACTCCTGTATGAGCCACACCTGGGCATTCACCCTGAGAAATGAAAACTTACGTTCACATGAAACAACTGGTTAAACATCCTGCGGGAGGACCATAGATGGAATACAACTGAGCAATAAAAAAGGAATATTCTGCACGTTGACTGCACCAATGTCAGTACCTTGGTTATGGTATCATTCTACAGTTCCCTAAGACACGACCGCTGGGGTGAACGGGGGAAGGGTACACAGGCTCGCTCTGCACCGTTTCTTCATAAATCTTCAACTTTATCAAAACAAAAGGTTTAATTTAAAAAACTAAATGATTTGAGAAGGAAGACCCAGGACATCAGCCCAGAACACTTTCAAATGATCAGGTAAAATTTTTAAAATATCACAGCGACTGCAGGTAGAAGACACGCAGGAAGGGAGATGGGAAGGAGGGCGGAAGGGAGTCGGGGCAGGGAGGGAGGGAGGCCCCTGCTGCGGGTGACTAGCACCATCCTCTCTGCCAAGCAAACTCAAAAACCAAAAAGCAACGAACAAAGGATGGACCAGCTGGGACCCCGAGGTCAGACCTTGAGAGCCAGTGCAGGAACAGGCTACTGCGGGAGACACCAGAGATGACTGCAGAGAACCCAAAAGCCGGGGGACCTGGAGAAGAAGGAAGAGCCCTGCTTTCTGCCCACGTCCTCTCTCCTTGCTAGAAAAAGGATCCCAAAGGGAACAGACTTGGTTGAGGGCAGCTCGAAAGGCCCTAACTGGTGAGAGCACACAGGCTGGGAGGGGAGGCGGCGAGACCCCTCAGAAGCCAGGACGACCCTGCCACCCCACACAAAACTCCAAGGCACCAGAACAGGCAGAACTGAAGGAGCGGCTTTTTTTTTTTTTTAATGCATCCTTTTGGTGAAGGGAGTCACAAGAAAAGAGGGTACTAAGTAGATGTCGGGTACCAAAGCATCACTGGCTGCCTGTTTTACTGTCAGAGCCAATAAACATTAAATATCCAAAGCTCCACAAATGTTTTCAAAACTCTATCTTTTCCATTTCCATGACATTGAATTTCCAGAGGGGAAAGAAATGACAGAATTCTGGATCATCCCCAAACTCCTACAATGGAGCTGCAAAACCCTATGGCTGCCCTTGAACTGTGAAGGACAAAAGAATCACAGTGTAAACCTCTCGTTAACAAGTCATAAGAGGCGAATGAACAAAAGGTGGGTTTACTGGGGTCTTCGGAAGCAGGACTTGGAGCCAGAGTCTATCAGCTCAAACCACTGCCCCCTTTCCATTCCGTAAGCTTTCTGGCTTGGACAGTAACTTACAAGGCCCGTGGCTCAAATTACCTTCACTCAACACGTCCAGCCACTGCCTGATAATGTAGAACGTGTATTTGCAAAACACACTCATCTGTTAGTCAAAAGTCGGCCTCACGGAAAGTAGATGATAAAGGGCTGAAGGACGCCCACTGTGAACTGTCTCCAGCCAAGCTACACTTCACCACAAACAAAAGCTGCAACAAATGCAAAGGCGGGCTACTCAAATGGAAACGGTGCCTGCGCAGTTTAAATTCACTGCAAGAATGAAAGATATGAACATACTTCAGGACCAACTTCCAGCGCAAACGTAAGCAGGCACACCATTAAAGTGGGGACCAGTGAGGTATGTTTAACTATGATGACTTTGCAGTAATTATAAGTAACAGGAATTTTTCAGTTCCCACAATGATCAGTAGTGACTCCGTACGTTGGCGACAGTCTGATGAACTGAATACAGTGAGGTGATACTCTGCATCTCAGACCTGAGAGGCAGGTGATATCGTTAAGAATGCCTTCACTTACCCTAAATCTAAGGTGCCATACCTCAACTAGTACGGTTTCTCAGAGAATCATCTTCTGCAAAAATTGTTTTTACAAGATTCACCTTCCAAGACTGCTCTATTCTATGAAAACAAATCTTTCTTGTGTACTTTTGAGTACACAAGACACACACACACACACACACACACACACACACACATAACTGAGCACCCACCCCTAAAATCAAGGGCACCGTACAGAGTATTCTTGTGTATAGGTCATCACCGAAACACCAGAACATAAATGATACTCTACTTGTCCACTCGTGTCTGCGGCCTGCTGGAAATGTGTCGCCAGTGACGTCTCGTCCTGGAAAACTTCATTACACTCCAGACATTTCAGACTGTGCCTACAGAGCTTGGAAGGGTCCTCGTCCAGGGGCATCGCCGGGACAATGGGCGTGCTCGACGGAGCCGATATGACCGTCCCCGTGATGCCAGACTGAATTTTTGTTACAGTGTGTGTGCCAGCTCCCGCGGAGCTCGGAAGAGCGGAAGATGAAGTAGAAGTATTGCTTGACGGAGAAACGATCATCTGATCTGCTGGGACCGGCTTTAAAATCAGGTGTGAGCACTGCATCACCACCCCTTTCTCCTTGTGCCCGCGGGCATGCGAGAGGAGGCTGCACTTGTTGTAGAAAACAAGGTTCTTGGTGCAGTGGTTGCAGGTCACCTCGATGCGCACGCTGCGCCTGTCGTAGTGCTGGGTCAGGCTCTTCTCCAGGGCGAAGGAGTCGCCGCACTCCAAGCACTTATACCCCCGGGTGGGCAGCGTGATGCCCGCGTTGGCAGGAGGACTGAGGTTGGGGATGTAAACTGGGACTGGGTTGACGCTGCTCAGCACCTTGTTGAAAGCTTCCACCACCGAACTCTGCAGGGAGGACACCACCTGGACCCGAGACACCTTTTTGGGGGGCTGCGAGGCTGCCGCGTTGATTATTGCCTGCTTTATTTGCTGCTGAGGTTTGGTTAGCACTTGGCGGAGCTCAGAAGTGGCCTGGGCGCCCTGAGGCAGAAGGTTAAGGTTGGCGAGGTGCACAGTCTTTGGCACGAGTTTGGCGTTGGCCAGGCTGGAGGCGGGCACCACGACGGTTTGCTGTTGGATGGCGTTGGCCGCTTTGATGATGGCGCTGCTGGCGCTCTGAACAGAGGCCGCAGATATGACCGTGGCTTTGACTGTCGTGTTGTTAGCGAGCTTCAAATTGATGACCTGAGACCCTGCCGTCTTCACAGCAGACACTGGGAGGAAGGCAGTGGCCACAGGCTTAATAGTGACCTGTTTAGGGGTCAACTCCGCAGGGGCCCCCGTGTTGGTGACCACGGCGGACTGCAGGGGTGCCCTGGGGGGTGAGGACAGGACAGCTGCCGAAGCAGGAGAGGACAGGAGCGAGGTCACGGAGGCCATCACCGCCCCCGTCTGCTCGGAAGACTTTTTTCCAGCGTCGGGATCGACCTCGGGCAACACCCTGGTCACAGTTCTCTTTATCTCCCCTGAGGACGTCTTGATGGTTTTGATGCGGACCTTGGGGATTGCTGGTGTCGATCCCGCGGGCGAGGAGGGCGAGCCCTTGCTGCTGTTCTCACTGGAGATGCTCCGGGGGCTGTCCGGCTGCTTCAGGGGGGCTTTCTTCGTCCCGTCGATGAGACTCTGGGGTTCGGGGGACTTCTCTATGGCTCTGGGGCTGTCGTGGGCCTCTTTGGGCGAGGGGGAGGGCTCCCGGGAGTGGGCCGCGGGCTCCTTCCCGGGGTCGGACGCCGCCTTCCTGGCGCTGAGCGCCGCGATGGCCGCGATGCAGGAGGAGAGCTTGGAGGACGGCTTGGCCCTGCCCGGCGGGGCGCCCGGGGCGCTGTCGTTCTTGTCGGGGTTCAGCTTCCCGTCGTGGATCCTGTTCTCGGGCCCCTTCTCGGCGTTCTCCTTCAGCTTGTCCTCCGCTTTCCTGGCTTTGAAGGGCTCGTAGACGCCGAGGTTCAGCGAATTCGCCTCCGTCTCTCTCTTGACCGCTTTGCCCTTCTCGCCGGCGCCCGCGGCGGGCGGCGCGGCCTTGCCCAGGTGCTCCCCGCCGAGCGCGCGCAGCTTCTCGTAGCCCTGCGCGGGCAGCGGCCCGGCCAGCAGGCTGGCCCTGAAGCCGGGGCGCGCCTCCTCCTTGTCGGGGGGGTCGTCCACCTCGATCTTCTCGTCGTCGTCGAACTCCTCGGCGCTGGAGATGGGGCTGAACTGGCTGAAGGCCGCGTCCTTGAGCGCCTCGGCGGCGGGCGCGTCGCCCTTGAGCGCCTTGGGCCCGTCCTTGCCGTAGCCGTCGAGCGCGGCCGCGGCCAGGAAGCCGTTGTGCAGCCCGTTGCCCGCGGGCGCGTGGCCGTCCTTGTCGGCGCCCTCGGCCGAGTCCACGCTGCGCACGTTCTTCACGATGACGCTCACGCCCACGTCGGAGGCGGCCGGCGCGTGCGCGTCGTCGTCCCCGTGCGCGCTGGGCTTGGCGTGGGCCTCGGCGTCGTCGTGGCCGGACTCGATGGCGGCTTTGGGGTCGACCATGTCGGGGATGTCGAACGCTGCCAGGAGGTCGTCGAAGTCTGGGGTCTTCATATCCCCCATGGTCATGGGTCCGCTCGGGCGCTCTGTGGAACGAACAGAAGAGAACGCTCAGCAACGGGGGCGCAGGGGGGCGCAGGGGGGCGCAGGCCCCGCGGGGCCCACGCGGACGGCAGCTCCAGGCGCAGGCGCTGCCCCGAGGCTGTGCCCGCGTGGGGCGCCCGCTTTGGCGAAAACTGCCAGAAAATACATCCTTTGTCACTGAGTCAACCCCACTGTTTTCACAAAGAGCTACTTCCAAGCATTTTCAGCGGACAGCGCTACTTCCACTGGCAAAATGATCACCTTTTTACACAGTCCCCCTCGGATGCGGGCCAGCACGTTAGAGGGATCCCCTTACAATCAAAAGACAAACTGCGGATTTCAGCTCGTGCTCGGAAAAAACGAGCAGCCCGGCCAACCACAGGGTAGATACTGTCAGCAGAGTTCCACCCGGGATAAAAAAAAAAAATCTCTAAGGAGCTGGTTCCATCAGTTTTTATTTAATCCTAATTTCCTCCATCATATTAGGAAAGAAATTCTCTCCCGGCAAAGGCGTGAGGCTCCCTCGCCCTCCCTAGACGAGTGGTTTGAGCGGTGAAGCAGCACCGCTGCTTCCCAATCACCGCTCATCCCGCAAGGCCAGACGCGGGGCTCGGGCTGAGACAGGCGCTCCCAGGACGTGGCGTGCGCAGCCGGCTGGGAGGAGAGGGCCCTCGGCTCTGCCTCTGGCCTGGATCAGGGTGGGTTAACAGTGCTGTGAAGCCTCATTCGCATCCAACAAAGCCCAGGTTGGTAAGAAGTGGAGAGTCTTAGAAAGATGCACAGTCACAGAATTATAAAAGATGAAGGACAGAGAAGTACATGCAGTGCCTGGGGTCTTTAAAGGGGGCCTTCACCCCACCTGCAGAAGAAAAGTGACTGTGGGATTAGATTAAAACCTCCATTAAAGAGGAGCTTTCTTTCTCCTCCCTGAACTGCAGAGCGCCACACCTTACGACTCTATTACTTTCTGGTATGTGCCAGTGTGTGTGGGGGGGGGTGTGCACACGCACATACACACATGCACTTGTGTCTTACCTACTAACCTGTCAGTTGCCTGGAGACAGGCAAAGTCTCACCGACCTTTATACCATAAATACCAAACAATTAACACACTACAAGTCAGGGACTACAAAAATGATTTGTCACAGAAGAATAGGCCCAGTTCACTCACTCTGAGATCCTTAGGAAACAAGGAACCTCTCTGAACCTTCTGGAACCTTTTGGTAGAAGGAGGCAAGCAGCTAGGAAGAGAAACAAAGAAGGGAAGGGAAGAGGGGGACAAAAATAGGACCGTGAGGGAGGGGGGCAAGAGGAGAAAGGAAAAGCAGCAGCAAGAGAAACAGGGAGGAGGGCTGCAAGCCATGGCGGGCAACCTCCGGCGGAGAATCTGACTGACTTGGACATGGGTACTCCAAGACTCCTTCCTGGTACTGTTTCCTTTACCAGTAAATGCCAATATTTACTGCAATCCTCCTTTAAGCCTGCTTTAAATCACGAGAAGTGATTTAAATGTGGCTTCCACACTTTGCTAAAGTATTTAATCATTTTGTTTCCTTGTATAGTATGTAAAACATCATATATTCCTAATCAAAGTACCTATATGAGAGTCAAGGGGGGATCAGGGGACTGGATATACAACGCGAAAACGCCTAGAACCAGAACTCCACACGGGTTGCTGATACACCCTCCCGGATCCACTCACTCCGGGGCATGCCCAGCTCCTGGTAAGGGTTTGGTGGAAAGGCCACCGCTGAAGATAAAATGTAATTACGGTTCAACAGGAGCTTAAGAGTAAATCACCTACCTCTTAGGATGTCTCAAGATGAGACACAGAGCTAGAGAACCCTCTGGGTGATTTTCCTAGAGGAAAACACTCGGGCCACTGTTCCCGTGGACGGGCGCCTGCAGGGACAGGCAGAGAATACACTTAAAGCAAGAGAAAAGGAGACAAAACATTAACCCCTCCGAACTGATACTTGACATGAAAATCCCCAGAGGTCGTACCCTGGGTGAAAGTACATGATTATGATTTTTCTTTTTGAACTGAAACATTTAAAGTGCAAGGTGTGGAGAGTGAAAAGGCCACCCACTAAGGAATAAGCCCTGTTAAGTCACCACTTTTGTTTTTAAGCACCGCATTGCTGTTAAGTAGAATACAACTCACAATGATATGTGAAAATTCAAATTAAAAAAAAAGCAAGCCACAGAGTTGCTGCCACACCCTCACACCACCAGAGCGCCTCTGCTTTCTCTCTCCGACCAGCCCTGTCCACCCAAATGTAGATTCCTGTTTTCAGAGACTGCAAGACAGAGATTCGTGAGTCCCCCCGCTCCTGGAGCTGAAAGGTGGGCTTTCTGATGCCACGACTTATCCAAAGCGTGGACCGGGCTTTAGAAGCCTGGGGTGGCTGGGTTCTCCCCAACTCCCTCCCTTCTTTCTTTACTGCTACTGGGGATTAGTGTCATTTGTCCCCTCCTTAAGACTGCGGTGAGCAGAACATCATCAAATTTCACGTGTTCATCCCAGAGGGCAGTCAGCTCAGGAACGGGAAGAATACAGCACACAGCTCAGGTGCTCACAGGCGGCAGGTCCAGGACACACGCCCCAAGAAATGATGAAAGGGATCCATGTGAAACAAAACTTGCTGGGCCACTGGCAGGTATTCTTACCAATTATTCTGATGACCTCCTGTGTACGCTTAACAGGCCTGGCCTGGTTCACCCACATGCAGGTGCTCAGGCACGACCACATCAGCCCCGCATGGCTGCCACATCAAAGGACCTGCCCACCGCACCCCCCCATCTTTTCCTATCTGCCCACCGACCCCACTTCAGGCTTGGGAACCAGAGAGCAACCTCCCGGCCTGCAAACCCTACAGGGGGTGAGAAGACATTCCCCAGGCAGGAGTGGCTCTTGCTCCGCAGGGATCCATGACACCCACTCCTACTCCCCCTGTGCTACCCAAGGTGTGTACTTCCTGCTGGGGGTCGAGGGGCATCCAGGCAGAAGTCACCAGACACTTTGCAGAGGTCAGTGTGGACTAGCACTGGAGCGGAAAACGGTGCATCAGTCCTCCTGGTTCTCCTGTAGGACAAGCTGACTACAGACTGAAAATGCAGAATGGGCATAAAAGCCAGAGAGCCGCGCCTGAAACCTGAGGTCTCTGTGGCCGGCTCCCCGCTCTGGGGTTGTGTAATGGGTGTAATAAATACTGCTCTCAATAACTGCACGCTTCTTTTTTGGTTTATAGAATTGTTTTTCCTACCCACAATCACATTGTCCTATTACCCTTTCCTTCCCCACCTTCTGGAGGCGAGAGCAAATTTTCCACTTGGGGAAAAATAAAAAGTTTTAGAGCTTAACTTCATTTCTCAGTTACATCAAGTAGAATGAGAAATGTTTATGCTTGCAAGTTTTCTTCAGTTTTTCACCTCGGTTGCTAAGTACTGTTTTAAAAAATACTCTTCTGCTTAAAGACAATACACAAATCTTCTCTCTCTTGAAACACTGAAAGATCTCGTTTTAGCATCCCTTCTGTACAAGAAGTCTGACTTTCAAGCAGAATTGGCTTCCATTATTGTAACAATGTCTTTCATTTCATTTATATCCTATAAAATATATGCTCCTTCAAAGACACTAACAGTCTTAATTTAAAACTAAACCCCATATAAACAACCTGCAATTTACCAGGAACATTTGTGCTTGACGTATAACCCTTTCACCCAAAGACACTGAAAATATGGGGGGGGCGGGGGCAGTTGGCGGCCTGTTTACAAATAAGGAAACTGAAAGAAGTCTGTCACATGACCCCTTTATTCCCTTCCATAAGAGACAAAACATTTCCTTTCTACCAAAGCCTCTTAAAATTATATTAAGCGATTTTGTCTTTGTTGGCAAAAGTCAAAAACAATCAAGTCGAAAGAAAACGCTGTTCACTCCTTAATCAGACTGCCTATATTTTGCAACCAACAAATTCTTCCTCGTGAAGAACAGCTCTCCATGGCTGTTTCCCAATCTCCAGGCAGAGAAGGGCAGCGAGACAGTCATAGCAGATCCTTAACCACGGAAAGCGAACTTCAAATCACCCCACTGAGAGAGACAAGCCTACATCCAGCCTAGGTTCTACTTCCACAAAAGAATAAGCAAAGTCCAATGGACCAGTAGAAACCTATCGACTTCACCACTTAAATGGAAAAACTAACATTTTTTTTTAATGAAAATCAATACTCTAAATCATAATAATCCTATTTCAAGGAAAATCAAAGTGGCTGACCATCTTAACAGTATTACACAAACGTTTCATAAAACAACTATATAACACAAGGCCTCTATTCTCTTTTAAGACTAGGTTTCCTCACTATTTTCCAGCAGGATCTGGCCATTGAAGCCATTCAATTCAAAGAAGCAATTCAACAGATGAATGGCTCTAACTCACGTCCATCCTTATCTTTCCCTCAAATATAAAGTGTTTCTTATGTATGTATCATGCAGTGTTTCACATTTAATTTGATCCTTACAGGAAAAGGACCTGGAATCCCCAGTTTTAAATGTCTTGAGGGATCTGGCTTCTCCGGCCTTCTCTGCGTCCTTATTTCCCCTTCCACCGCGGGCAAGGCCTTGGCTTCCTCCGTCACCCACCCCTTTCTCAGTCAGGCCTCCGTCCTGACCTCTTCAAAACAAACAAACAAAAAGAAATCACATCTCTTTCTCCCCAACTGACCTTTGCTGCTGCTTTCTCCCCAACTGACCTTTGCTTTTACCCCACTTCAATCTGAATTGCTTATCAGGGAAAACTTTTCTCACTGTAATTCCATTCCAAATACCAAGCAGGTTCAGTTATGCAAGTCAGCCTCTGCTTCCTCACTTCCCCGAAACCAGCTGGGGGCAGATGTCAGTTCTGTAGAGTTTAAAACAGCCTCAGTTTCTCTCTAGGAAAGGGGGACAGAGAGGCCGGGGCCCCAACTCTGGCAGCTACTTACGAGTCAAAATAATGCCACCAGG